ACTTGCTAAACTTTCAGCACACGTGGTGGATTTGGGCATGAGGATTGCTCACACATGTACTGCCCTGACGCTAACTTTAGACAAAGTGTTGGCATGTGCGTCGCCCAAGTGGCGAATTGCTTTGGCCAAACTGAGCCTCACAACAGAACACGGGTTGGGCAGGTCATTGCAGTTTTTTATAAACTGGGGGTCGGTTAGCCATGACTCAAGCTCAAGGACGTGCCCAACACATATTCGGTGCTGGGGCTTAGTTCTGCCAAAACAATTCGCCGATCTGGGAACGCACAGGCGAAGGCGTCGTCTAATGCCTGCACCAGGAAACCAAATGACCGAGCAATCATCACCCCCAAGTTCACCACGGGTCATGAAAGTTCAGCAGGTCACAACCCGCACGCCGGCCATCAAGCAATTAGAGCGCAAGCTGGCGACCATCCTCGATACGGGGGAGCCGTTGAAGGTCGTAGGTTTGCAGTGGCATAGACACTGTATCCTCTAAATACTGCAACTTGCTCTCCATGAATTACCCATGTACACTATTGTCTCCGAGGTTGGACCCACGACGAATTTCGAAACGACAGGCAAATAAAATTGTTGTCAGAATGATCACATCTTTTTCTTCTCAATTACTTCCTGGGACTCGCATTTTCGCTTGCATTGGCTGAAAAGACTGTCTTGTCTCTAGGAGTGAATGGGCGACCATCTCCTGACCATGGGACGGTTACTCGGCAGAAACAACTCCACCACAGTCTCCGATGCACTCGCCTGCACAGGAAATTATATTTCCTCTACTAGGAGGGTGTGGGATCCAGAATAAGCATTTACTTGGCCATTGTGCGTGATATTACGTTGGTTAACCTAGAGACCCATGTCACGCAGTGAAAGGCATGAAAGAAAAAACAGCCAAAGAAGACATGCTTCTGAATAACTGTTGGGCCAAGGGAACATAAAACGCACGTATTCCGTTGTAGTCCGGAGTACAAATTCCACGTAGGCACTCCAGCTACTAGTGCGTAGGCAAACTAAGAACATGTCAAGAACTCCTGACTCGATAACAATGGTTCAGAAAAGTGGCGGTCCACCAAATCGATGGCAGGACCGAAAATGCTGATGCCCTTTTATTTTCGAGCCCTTGCAGGTTATTGCAGAGCGACAAGCAATTCATAATACAGGAGAGACTGGAATTATTGGTATCGGCTTATTTGTCGGCAGCAACCAGCCATAACAGGTTGATTCTATTATGCTAACGAGTGAGGCACAGACAGAAATCTTGTCTGCCTCCAAAGTGGCATGAAAGTTGTGCTTCAGCACGTTAGCTGCAACGAATGCATTGGCAGGTACGAGGGGCCGACACTAATCAGCTTTTGTGCACTCATGAGCTGAGGGACGCCTTTTGACTGTATATGCATTGGGACGAATTAATTGCTGTGGTCCTCCATACAAGAGGACATAAAGCGGCACAAAGCGCAGAAACTAGACATGGCAGATGGTAGTGCCGG